CATAATGTACATTATCTTACCCCAGAAGTTTCATTATTCTAACTCATAACGTACATTATTATAACACATAAAATACATTATTTTAACACAATGTACATTATTCTAACACATAATGTACCTTATCTTACCCTAAAGTTTCATTATTCTAACACATAATGTACATTATTCTAACTCATAATGTACATTATTCTAACTCATAAAATTTAACAACGTTGTTTTGGACCGTAGTCCACATAATAATTTGCCGGTAGGGGTACGAGTTATATGGGCCAGGTTAGAAATTCTCGAACCCAACCCATCTAAAATATGGGTTAAACAGGTCCAACTTGGCGGATTGGACTCATTTTGACAGCACCGTGCATGCATTATGCAATACTATAGTTGTTATTGAATAATATTACTCTATCACTTAATAAATTTTGTACCTGCATTTAATACTTTATATATCTATAATTACCATTTTATGCGTCTATAGTTAACCTATTACGTAATTTCAATTTTTTTATTGGCATACAAACTGTTAATTATATGTATAAAATATATTAATTGCAGCCACTTAATTTTTAAAACACAATTCACAATCTAAGATGACCCTAGTACATAGTATAGCATTTGGCAATAGGGCAATAATGCGGTGAGAGCTTAATCATCAACCAGTTTAAGCTATCGGAATATGTTCATCACTTGTCACTTTGTCACTTATCGTTTTCGCTTCCCTAAAATGTTAAAATTAACGTTAAATAATAACAACAAAAGATAGTGGTAAAAAGTAAACAAATGTCTAGCCGTCACGTTCTTCCTAATACCAAAATAAAATACTTCTTTTCGTTCATAAAAGTTGAGTGTTAATCACGTATAGTTCTTTGTTCTTCATGTTTCGTGTTTATGTGTATAATTGAAAAAGATAATTGATTTAACATTTTATAATTTATTTTTAGGTAATTGGCAATAAATTTAAACGTTTCTATCGTAACCGTTTTTATTCCACTTTCTAAATTTGATCTAACGTCCTTTTTTGTATTATTTTAATCACTTTTGTTATCAAATTAACTAAACTTTTACCCAGTGACATGTCAATATTAAGAGTTCAATATGATTTTTTTAAGGATGAAAAAACTCCACAATCACTATCAGAGAATGTACACCGAGTAAATTCCGACTTCTAGCCTTAGGCAATAAATCACTAGAAGGATGTTAATCAATCTATGCTACGTTGCTTATAACTGATCGGCTCAAACAAAAAAGTTAAATCAACACCAACTAATTGAGAATGGAAATTCGAGGTTTGTGGTGTTGCAAAAATCCCGCCTAGGCACCGATTAATCGGCACCTAGGTGCTAGGTGCTAGGCGTTGGTCGGCCGCCTAAGGTATCACCATAATCTGTAGTCTAGGCGGCTGGCCGGCTAGACCTCCTAGGCACCGACTAGGCCGTCTAGGCACCGAGTAGGTCGCCTAGTCAGACGATTAGCTATTATTCTTGTTTTTTTTAAAAATTTTAATGGGTTATTTCACTCAAAATTAAATCGTTTTGTGTGCAATAACTCTAAATTGTTCAAACTCTAGAAGTTTTTTTAGGTTAATATTTAATGTTTTTGTATTAACTATTAAAGTATTCAAAATGTATTTATTTATATTTGTAAATTCTATTTCTTATTTTTAAAATAGTCTAAATTTAACAATTATTTATTTTATTTTATTTTGGTTCTGAATCATAATCAAAACCGTCCCTACTATTTCGGTTCAATTGTTAATATGTAATCAGCGCGTGTGGACATGGTAAATATGAAGATTGCATTGAGATCATTAATAACTCATCGTCAGAGATCAACTGTAACACCCCCGATTTACCAACTTTTTAAAACATAAATTCAAACGATAAACTTCTAATCATCAAGCAATCAAAGACGAAAGCTAATTAAAAATCGGGAGGCGTTATGCCACACCCATAAACCATGGGTGCACAGGCTAAGTCTATAGCTATTTAACAAGACAATAACAAGTCTAAGGCACACAGGCTATGTCTAATCAAGGCTAATAGGCCCAAAACATAACAGTTTAAGGAAGGGGAAAAATACTTTAGCTACTAACGACGGCTAGCGCGCTCCACAACTACTCAAGACCTGTAAAAACAAGGGATAACACCCGGTCAGCGAATAATGTTGGTAACGCATCAATACGCGTTAAATAACATAGTATAGATAGATATAAACAAAGTCATTTGGAACTGATGAATACAGTATATATCATTTCAAAATCAAGGAAGGATGTCAACGTCAAAGACTCATCACACCCTCAACAAGAACGAGGATCATCAACCTCATCACGACACATGACCACAAACATCATAGACAACTCAACTCAGGATGTAGCCTACCATTCACAAGGTAGAGTACATCAAGACATGCATAAGCAAGGAAGTAACACAAATCACATAATGACACATTCATGTATCAAGTTCCAACCTTATCCCTTAGTACCACCCTTATGGCTACCCCTGGCCTTATTTCAGTTCCAACCTGTACCTCCGAGTGCCACCCTGTACTTCTGAGTCCAACCTTTTCTTGGTCTGGGACCGTCGTCCCCCACCAATCTACACCACCAATCAGAATACCACCGATCTCAAGTACACGAGGGTACTGTTCAATTCATAGTCATAAACCACCGATCACATGTGAGCAAAGCTCAAGTCACAAAACCACCAATCTCATTCATAGTCACACATGGTCATCATCATCAAGAGGATTGAGGCTCATCAATAGTCTCAATCAAGCATCAACAAAGGATACAACCATTTGTACAAGACAACGTCATAAGAATCAATCAAGAGATTTCAACAAAGTCATGAAACCATACTCAACAACAAGGATTACCATCCAACATCAAATGATTGACAACGCGAGTTGCCAACCCACAACAAGAAGGAACAAACTGTACATACTAGCATATCAACATCAAACTAGCATGCTTATCAAACGGGATAACCAAATGGTTCGAACGAACCTTCAAGACTCATATTAACCCAACGAATCACAAAGTTGGACCCTTAGCACGATTCAAGACACCAAATCCTAACATGGATTCCTAGCACACCGTTCTAGACATACGAAACGTCAAGAAGACTCACAAATATTCCAATAATTCAACAACGAGCTGAGAGGTCAAAACATCAATACCAAGAAGAAAAGAATCACGGGGAACAAATCCCCGCACATTACAATATTGTTCCTCATGGGTGGGGCCACGGGTAGACCCCCACCCGTGGTCCTGCCCTCGGGTACACACCCGAAAGCCACATGTTCCCCGCGGGTGGGGCGGCGGGTAGGCCACTGCCCACCGTTCCGCTCGCGGGTACACCCCGTACACCAATTTCCCTTCGGGGATTTTCATCATCAAGGTCAAGTTCAAGTCCAAAACACCCAAAATCTCACACGCAACAATGATATGACTTGAACCCAAGAAATAGCCAAGCAATGGAATTTAAGAAACCTAAAAACAAGCTCTAAACATGCATCATCACAAGATTATGCATCAAATCTCGCAAATCACATCAAGAACATCAAATAGAAGCCAATAATCATCATTTAGGTAAGAAAATAGGTTTTGTATAGCATGTGTTACCTTTGTAGAACAACAACCACTCTTTTCCACCCTATTAAGCCTTTTCCTAGAGCTCTTCTTCCTCACCAACTTCTTACACAAGCCAAAACACAAGAAAGATTCTAACTTTAGATAAAGACACCCAAAAGATGGCTAAAAACACCAAAAAGCTAAGAACCTTACCATTTCCTATGCTCAAGAAGAAGAAAGTAGGAATCTTGATGGAAGATCTTGCAAGGCTAGGAGGTTCACCTTCTTGCTTGAAGAATAAGCTAGGTTATTTTAGAGAGATGCTAGAGTGTTTGAGACTTAGGCTTGAATGATGAATGAAACACTATTACAAAATGGAGCAAAGAAATTCAACTTTAAGCTACCCTTCTTTAAACAAGGGTAGTGTATTATTTAAAAAAAATGGGGCGGTGGCATAATTGTAATTAAATGAATAAGAAACCGCTACCCTTTCTAAAAGAAGGGTAGCGGTTTTTTTTTTAAAAAAAAAAGACAGAAAGAGTTTCAGCTACCCTTTCGCGTAGCAAAGGGCAGCGGAAAAGATATTATTAAAAAAAAAAAAAAAACAGATCGAAATTAAATTAAAAAAAAAAAACCTCAGGCCTGCGTTCTCCATCCTCACCGCTCACATCTCACAACCGTACCCTCACCTCACGGCCGGCATCTCCGTAGGACATGGCGATCACCTCACCGCATCTCCGGCCTCGACTCCCGGCGAGGACACGGCGACGCCTCACCTCACAATCGACTCCCTCAACCGTCGCTACAGTACATGCGTTCTCCTCACCGCCACCGTCTCATCATCGATTCACCGCCCCACGCCCTCATCCGCCGTCTCCACCGCCACAGTGTCGCCGCCGCTGTTTAGATCCACCGCTCCAGCCGCTGCTTCGATCCGCCGCCGCTGCTTCGGTCCACCGCTCCAGCCGCTGCTTCGTCCATCAGGTAAGGTTTTTTTTTTTTTTTTTTTTGGTTAATTTGTTTTTTGTTGTTATTTTTTATATAATTACAGTAGAATTATTCGGCTAAAACCCTTAACACATCCAGCAGCAATGACATTTACAGAATATCATAGCAACTCTTCTCTTGGTAGTAGACACATTAGTACTGAACATAAACAAATTAAAAAGGCTACAGAAGAGTGAGTAGATGAGTGACCTTAGCTAGAGCAAGCTTTGCCTGTTTCAAAAATAGTATCTTGGCGGGGCGACCTCCAGGTCTGCAGCCATTGCGGTATGGCTTCTCCATTACCAAATCTGAGCCTAATTTCTGTTGGCAAGTGATTTGCCTAAAGAGTTAATTCCATTTTGGTCCCTTGACTATTAGATTGTAGCCACAATATGCTCATATGGTAAAGGTTATTAATCAGAATTCATTTCTGACCCCTATTACCATGGGAGCAGTAGTTTCTTCTGTTCACTACAATCTTAAGCTCAGGCATCCTACCCTTGACATGCCCATTATTGACTATGATTTGGCAGTGCTTATCCAGCCAATGCTAATGCTTGGCATTAGTATTGGGGTTACTTTCAATGTGATCTTTGCTGACTGGATGGTCACAGTGCTGCTACTTATTCTCTTCGTAGGTAAAAGTATTTATTGCATTCTCTGTTTATTATGAAATCTGCTCCAATAGGCTTATAACTTTTATTGGCCGATGCAGGCACATCAACTAAGGCCTTTTTAAGAGGTGTTGAGACGTGGAAGAAAGAAACTATTTTGAAAAAGGTTAACATGGATCCATTACTTAACATATATTTTGACTGATCGAGTTATTGTTAAAAATCGATAAATGGATAAATAGAACCCGTATAGTGGACTCCAGCTAGATTGGGTCTAAGATTAAGTTAAGTGACTTCTGGCTTTATTTACAAGGATTTCACATTCTTGATTCTACCGCTTCATATTATGCTGCTATGCTTAGGTGGTAAAATCTATGTTGCATTAGGGTGTATTCAGTATGTTCAATAAAATTGGTCTTCATTGCTTGCTTTTATTACATTCTGTTTTCTGATTATCCCTTTTTCTTTGGATTCAGGAGGTTTCCCAACGCTTAGCAGCAAATGGTACTTTACCTAGCTTTATGTATCATTTTTAGTGCAACTCATTTTTCCCTCAAGATCAAACATTTCTGTGCCTGTACAGAAACATAAAAGCAAAGAAATAAAAATCGATTATAATGTGTTCAAGTTGTAATCTGTCAGGGAGTGGTGCTCAAGGAGATTACAAGCTTCTTCCTAGTGGCCCCAGCAATGCAACTCAAAATGACACCAAGGCTTCTGAAAATAAGGTGTTTTATCTGCAATGTTATAATCCTGCCTCATTTGTTTTTTTTTTTTTTTTCAACTCTAATATATTTTGCCATTGTAGGAGGTCTCTATAATAGAAAATGTTTGTTGGACCAAATTTGGACTTCTTTGCTTTGTTTGGGTTGCATTTCTCACTCTGCAGATCATCAAGGTTTTTATTTCTCTCATCATTTAAGTTGCCTTTCGGTATTGTGGTTCCTGTAGCCTATAGATACTAGTTTTTCTGCATCAATGTTATCCTATGAACTCACTGAACTTGTGTTTCGTAACAGAATTATACAGCAACAGGTTTTTCTACTCAATAGGTTTGTTCGCTTTGTGAGCACTCCGGAGATCTTGGAACGGTTGCACACTATAGAATCTGAGATTATACAGATTGAAGAAGCAATCACCATACAGGGTCAGTTTCATTAATCCCTTTCTTTATTTGTCTTGAGTTATTCCTCAATGTTGTTTGTGTGGTTTGCCACAAGCATACTATTTCTAAATTGGATCTCTATGTTATTCTTTATCCAGTTTTTATGCTCATCTGCCCCCTATATTTTTTAATTTCTTGAGTTGCACAGTGTGCATCTTTCATCATTAAGTAATCAATGTACTGTTTGACACCCAAAAACTTTTGACAGGTAACAAATCAACAGCAGGTGTTAATGAGGAGAAAGCTATTGGCTTTAACAAATCAACTCTCAGATGCATCCTTCTTAAATCAACTCAAGTGGGCGTGGTGTACGCTAATTTAAAACTGCACTTCTGCATCGGCTTGAAAGGGTAAGTACCATAATGTGTAGTTCTTTTTGCAGAAATGCTATTCTATGCTTCCTACTGTTTCCTCTAAGGTTGGTGCTTGTTTCTATTTCAACATATTGAGCATAATGTGTTTTAATTTATTCATTTTTACTAAAATCTGGTACTCTGTATAAATACCATGTATACACTTTGCATTAGTTTTTTATAAATCAAAATCTAGGGGTCTGAATATGATGATGATGAATCACATATATATAGAAGAGTTTGGAGAATATGACTTTATATTTGCCTGCCAAATGAAATGAAATGGTGTTGCTACCTTGTACTGATCGATAATTATTTAAGGTGGCAAATGAATTGAACTGGTTCCCCATCACTCATCAACTGATCTTTAATTCAAAATGTAGATTATATTTCTTGTTTGGTGTCTTTCTCCCCTTGTTACTCAACACTAAATTCTATCACAATTGCGTTGTTTCTCATTTGCAGGCCAGTAAGGATCAACTTCCTCAATCAGACATAATCAGGCCAATAAGGATCATATTTAGTAATTTGATTAATTAAATTATTTTGTAGGTATTTGAAGGAAATTCGTACTCTACCAATGAAATAGATGGGATTCGAGATTTATGAGCAAAATATTTGTTGGAAGAGTATGTGTAATTTTTGTTTTAGATTATATGTTATATTGCATTGATATAAAGTATTGTATTGATAGTATTTGGTTGAGTGTTGATAATATTGTTTTTGATAGTTTGCTGATAATAGTGTTGATGGTTAGTATTATCTTGATATGTAGTGTATGAAAATAGGATTTTTATAAAAATTGGGGCATTTAAAAATAAAAAATAATAATGAATTAAAAAAAAAAAATCCGCTACCCTTCTTTTGTAAAAAGCGCAGCGAATGCTTAAATAAAATAATAATAAAATAAGAAAATTCGCTACCCTTCTATATATAGAAGGGTAGCGGATATTCAACTTTCCGCTACCCTTGTGAAAGGGTAGCAGAAAACTCAAGGCTTTCAGCGTCCCTCAAATCCGCTACCCTTGTAAAGGGTTATCTACAAGGGTAGCGGATAACCCTTTACAAGGGTAGCGGATTTGCATATCTGTACTAGTGAAATAAAATGTCTTGCTAGGGTAGCTTGAACAACAATTCATGGGTGAAAAGCCAACAACTCAAAGATGCGACAAAAGATGACGGGATGTAAATAAACAAGGCTCCAAAGATAAAAAAGATGTAAGGTTTCAAGAGTCAAGAAATGCAAAGTTTCCAAGTAACGAAGGAAACTTCTCAAGCAACAAAACTCCTAAATGATCAACTACCCTACACCCGACCAAAAGACTACACAACTAAGAAAGGTAACGCGAGGTACCTGTGGTAAACAGATCCGGGTAGCGTTCCCTCATGGCGAACTCCAGCTCCCAAGTTGCTTCTTCCACTCCGTGATGCGACCACCACACCTTTACCATCTTCACCGACTTCTTGCGGGTTTCTCTTGTTTTAAAGTCCAAGATCCAGAGCGGTCTTTCTTCATATAACATAGTTCCGTCAAGGGGTACCACTTCTGGCGGAATCATATGAGAAGGGTCGTGTACATACTTCTTTAACTGGGACACATGAAACACATTGTGCACCCGTTCCAACTCCATTGGTAACGCCAACGATAAGCCAGATTCCCTATCCTCTCGAGAATTTCGTAAGGACCAATAAACCTAGGGCTTAACTTGCCCTTCTTTCCGAACCTCATCACTCCCCTAGTGGGAGAAACCTTTAACCACACTTTCTCTCCAACTGCGAATTCTGCTTGCTTCCTTCATAGGTCCGCGAAGGACTTTTGTCGATCATGTGCCATTTTCATTCTTCCTTGAATATGCTTGATTTTCTCCACTGTGTCATGCAAGTATTGCGGTCCCAGCATCACCGGGTAAACTAAATTCTCCTAACATAACGGGCTTCAGCATTTCTGACCATAGAGCGTTTCGTACGGTGCCATCTATATGCTTACATGGTAGCTGTTATTGTAAGAAAACTCAATCAGGTCCAAGTGCTCTTCCCACGAGCCTTGGAAGTCCAACATACAAGCCCTTAGCATATCCTCAATCGTTTGAATTGTCCTCTCGGTTTGTCCATCCGTGGCAGGATGAAAGGCGGTGCTCAAATTCAACTTCGTTCCCAAAGCAGCTTGTAAAGACTTCCAGAATTGAGATAGAAACCTTGGATCTCGATCGGAGACGATATCCTAGGGTACTCCATGGTACTTCACTACTTGACTTACGTATGCTCGGGCTAACTGTGTCATCGTCCACGTTTCCTTCATAGCGATGAGTCGAGCCGTCTTAGTTAGTTGATCCACTATCACCCAAATCTTGTCCTTGCCGGTGCGGGTCACCGATAAACCTCCTACAAAGTCCATAGAAATGGAGTCCCACTTCCCTTGAGGTGACAGTTGGTTGCACCAATCCTTTGGACCTGCATCGTTCAGCCTTGACTTTCTAACAGTTCAAGCACTTACTCATGATATCGGCTATTTCCTTCTTCATGTTAGGCCACCAATAAAGCTTTTTCACGTCCTTGTACAACTTGTCACCCCCGGGGTGTACCGAGTACGGGGTGTTGTGACCTTCTTCCAGAATTTGGCGCTTCAAACGGTCACAAGACGCGGGTATACACCAACGTCCTTTGTATCTTATGCCCCCATCTTCGGATAACTCAAAAGACCCCTTCTTTCCTTCAACCAAATCACTCCTAATTTTCGCTAGGCCGACATCCTTCAATTGCTCATCCTTGATCTCTTCCATGAGGCTAGGCACGATTCTCAAATTGAACAAACGGACTTCGGCTTCCACCTCACCTTGTTCCACCACTTCCAAGTTCATCTTTTGTAACTCCTTACAAAGTTCATCGGCCACCACCCAGATAGAGCTGACGGAATGCTTAGATTTCCTGCTTAGAGCATCGGCTACCACGTTTACTTTTCCCTCGTGGTATTGAATATCCAATTCATAATCCTTAATGAGCTCTAGACAACCCCTCTGACGCATGTTCAAGTCCTTTTGCGTGAAGATGTATTTGAGACTTTTATGATCCGTGAAGATTTTACACTGCACCCCGTATAAATAATGTCTCCAGATTTTCAGGGCAAAGACCACTGCTGCTAGTTCTAGATCGTGTGTGGGATAATTCTCTTCATGCACTTTAAGCAGTCTAGAGGCATATGCGATTACTCTTCCATTTTGCATCAAAACACACCTCAAACCCTTCTTCGACGCATCGATGTACACTTCGAATCCTTCAGTCCCAGACGGTAGAGTTAACACGGGCACGGTGGTCAGCTTATCCTTTAGTTCTCGGAATGCTAAATCACAATCTTGATTCCACTGAAAAGGAACGTCCTTCTTTAACAACTTGGTCAACGGTTGAGCCACCTTGGCAAAATCCAACACGAACCTGCGGTAGTATCCCGCTAACCCAAGGAAACTCATCACTTTTGCAACCAACGTCGGTACTACCCAATCCTTCACTGCTCAGATCTTATCCGGATCCACTGAGATACCGTTACTGTTTATCACATTCCCCAAGTAAGTTACACTGTCTTTCCAAAACTCATACTTTGAGAGCTTGGCAAAAAGTTGTTTCTCCCTCAAGGTCTGAAGCACGATACGAAGATGCCTTTCATGTTCCTCCTTGCTCCGGGAATAGACGAGGATATCATCGATGAACACGATCACAAAATCATCTAGGTAGCACTGACGGCACATTGGTCAGGCGCATTACCGTGAACTCGTAATATCCATAGCGAGTCCTGAAAGCTGTCTACATCTTTATCGGCCACTTTTAGCTCATGGTAGCCTAACCTCAGATCAATCTTAGAGAACACGCTTGCACCCTTGAGTTGGTCAAACAGATCATCGATCCTCGGAAGCGGGTACTTGTTTTTAACGGTTACATGGCTCAACTCCCGGTAGTCTATGCACAACCTCATGCTTCCATCTTTCTTTCTAACAAAGAGCACTGGCGCTCCCCACGACGAGGTACTCGGTCGGATGTAACCCTTATCCAGCAAATCCTGTAATTGCACTTTCAACTCATGCATCTCCTTCGGCGCTAACCGGTAAGGGGCTTTCGAGATGGGTGCGGTTCCGGGCACAAGATCCACCGAAAACTCCACCTCCCTAGGTGGAGGCATACCTGGGATTTCTTCGGGGAAGACATCAAGGAATTCACACACCACTGGTATATATTGAGTCGTATCCCCTTTGGTCTCCAAGTTTTCAACGGTGCAAAGGAAGACTTCATGACCCTTCTCCACGTACTTCTTCATCCTAAGCATGGATACCATCTTGGTTTCAGGCTCCACCATGGTGCCTCGATATGATACTCTTCTCCCGCTAGGTCCCCTTAACACAACCTTCTGTTCCCCGCAAAGGATTTGAGCTTTGTGCTGTCCCAGCCAGTCCATTCCTAGAATCACGTCCACCCCATCCAAACCAAACTGGATAAGGTTACTAGGGAATTCTTCTCCGTTGATGGCGATCTTGACATTCTCAAACAAACGATTACACGGATTGATTTCCCCCGAGGTCACCTTCACGCTTAACTTCACTTCTACGCCCTCGGTCAAACCCAACTTCTCAACGAGCTCCGACGATACTAACGAATTA